GAATCACCACTTCGCCTATTTACCACTTCTTGGCGAAGTGACTGAGCTACAAAAAGGCTCCCACGTGCACAGTCGTGTGGCACACTTCGACGTTTTACCCCGACTTTCCTCATCTGTGTTGCCAACATTCTTTGTTGTCAAACTTTAAATTCATTCATTCAGTGAAGTACTTATCGTTGTTTATACTAGCTCATTGCTTACTATTTAATGGTGGCGTCCGGAAATCAGGCACAAAGTTGGCTGAGAGTACGTGACGCACTTGACTAAATCTTGGAAAATTCCAACTTAACATTTAAGAATTTCTTTAAAGTTGATAAATTCTGATTAACCATTATTATCTCTACTTACATACCATACCCAACTACAAGTTCGTCAGAAAATTATGTTCGTTTTTTTTTTTTTTGGGGGGGGCATTTTCAAATGTTCACGTGCACTTCAAAATAAAATCGGAAAATCACGCCGAAATAAATTTCTCTGCTAACTTTTCTAACGGGTAGATAAACTCGCCAGTCTACGGAGTGTTTAGAACTTGATGAAATTTCACTTACACTGTGAAATTCCAGTTAAGCGCTGCAGGTGAAAAATCAAAGTGTGCTACGTTTGTCAAGTCTACAATGGGATGAAAAAAAAAAGTTTAATGACATAAGGGCTTGGATAATAGGGGAAAAGGACCATTTTAGTAGGGCCAAACACCCCCAGATTTCACGGCCTCCGCCATTCTTCACGTACTCAGCGCTCGTGTTTATAGTGCGTGCGAGCATGGGCGCGCGCAGGGGAAGTGGCAAATGGGCAAAGTACCAATTTGGCGAAGTGGTAATTCGGCGAAGTGGTAAATAGGCGAAGAGGTAAATAAGCGAAGTCAATCAATCAATCAATTTTTCTGCTCCAACCACAGGCTGTGTAGTAATTGGAGGCAGGCTTGCTTTTGAGCCACCAAAACTCTCAAAATTCATGTTTCCTCGCCGCCTTTATAAACTCGTCTCGGTTGAGGTCGGATGATGACGCCACAGCTTGCTCTACAGCCTGTCTCAAAAAAATGGTACAATCGAAAACGATTTTTTTTCAATATTAAATCTCAACATAAGTAAGCCGTTTTGAGATCACATTAAAGAAAATAGACCAGGCTTTCCAATACTTTTTGTTTCATCTCATTTGCTTTTGTCAATCCAGAGATAACTGCAGTTTACTGCGGAACACAAAAATCGAGTTTGTTTCTTTTGCCAAGTTGCAATCTTTTGTGAGCTTCAAGACAGCATGGCACAGAACTAGAAACAACTCTGCCCATGCATAAAAGTGGCACAAAACCGATTTTGGTGTATCGCACTAAATTGATTATATCGCTGAATTGACAAAAGCAAATAAGATCAAACAAACACTAATGGAAAGCCCAGTCTTTGTTCTTTAATATTATGCCAAGTAAGAATGACTTATTTTGAAATTTCATATTTAACCAATTTTTTTTCTTCTGATTGTACAATTTTTTTAGACAGGCTGAGAAGCGTTCCAATGCGGTTCCAGGCTGTTTGTAGGAATCAACATTGTATAGTAACTGTTTGGTGTGGCGCTGGTTCGGTTGGCGTATCAGGTGTGCGGTGAACTTGCGGCGTTGTGCCACCACAAATTCGTGAAGAGGTGGGAACTGGCAGAGCTCGTATATTTGTAGCATTGCCTGTTTTCGTCTGTTGGAGCTCGACGGAAGCCACCGCGGGCTAATCGGCGCAAGAGCAGGGTATGGGTCGAGGTGAGGCGACACTCCTGCACTTTCGTAAGCGTCCACGTCTGGCACGCGTATGTCAGTCGTGCTCGAGTATATGCCCGAAAGAATACCATGCGTGTGTGGAGCGCTATTTGGTAGTTCTGGAGGAGGTGTTTCATCTCGCCAAATGTGTGTTTGGCCGTTTGGATGCACACATCAATTTCAAAGTCGCCAGTGGCAGGCTGATCCTGTGTAAGCTGGCTGCCAAGGTACCGGAATGTTTGACTGTTTTTGATGGCGATTCCATGGATGACCAGGAGGGATTCCGGGTAGCTGGTTAATGTTGGATCGTATCTGGCGTTGAGGATTACCGTTTCGGTTTTAGCCTCGCTGATATGTCGGTCGTATTCATCCAGGAGTTCCACCAGGAAGAGTAGGCCGCGGCGTAGATCGTCTATGGATTGGAAGCACAGTAAGATGTCATCAACGAAGGCAACCCAAAGCAGGTCCAGTGTGCCAGCAGAATTTTGTGGTCCAGACTGCCGTGAGTATTATGCTGGTAAGCTCTGAGAGGTAGGTACAGGACTCGGTATGCAGCATATTTTGAGGAGTTCTGGTGGAATATCATTAGCGGCTCGGTTGTTCTTGAGCCGGACTAGATTGGTCTTGACCTCGTTCTTGGTCGGCACACTGTTGTTGATATCGTTTTCGGCTGAGATTTGAAGTAGGGTGGCCATAACCTCTGGAGGATTCTCGTAAAGAGTGTCTGGCTCAGGTAGGTCCTCTGTGCAAGTAAAATGGTTTTTGAAGTGGTTACGGAGAGTGTTGGGGTCGCAACCGGCGCCTGGTGCGTCCTTCAGCGTTGATTGTTGTTGTTTGGCCCGGCGGAATGTTACGTGCTTCGGCAAAGGAGTTTATCAATACTACTTCAGCTGCAAAGTGGTCATTGCGGAGCCTTTTCAGAGTATGCTTGATTTCCTTTGAATTTTGTTTGTGCTGTGGGTGGGTTCGGGCCATATCGTCGCGTTGAGCGAGCAGTGCGAGTATCTTGGCATCGGAGCGCCACGGTGCTTCACTGGCAACTTTGGGGTCTCGGGAAGCGACCGGAATGGCTGCCTCACGGAGCGCGTCGATCAGCATGTCGCATCTGCCGGAGGTGGAATCGTCGGTGGCTGTGGCTAGTCTGCACTCTAACACTACGGTTACTTTGGCGGGGTAGTCGGCATTGTCTTTTAGATCTTTAACGTTTCGGCGGTTGAAGTGGTAACTCGGCAAAGTGGCAAACAGGCGACGTGGTAATTCGGCGGAGTGGCAAATAGGCGAAGTGGTTGTCGGCGAAGTGGAAATTCGGCGAAGTGACTGTAAAACTATTCTACAGAAAACTAGTCCCACGGTTGCACAACGGATTGATTTTCATGACTAATGACCGCGGAAGTTTTGAACAGTTTAAAACTTCCGAAGCCCCTCGGAAGATGACAGATAACCACGGATGTACTAAGGATACGGTACTCCCACAGTCTATCACGAATTTCAAACCGTGGAGATCTGTAGCTCCAAACCGTCAATGTGTGACTGAGGCTTTACTGTTGCTAAGTGAACTAGACTGGTTATCTATAGCGCACTGACTGGCTGTCACTTGTGAATTAGACTTGCTTCAGTCTCTCACTGCCTGTCACTTATTAATTATACTGGTTTACCTGTTCCACTGACTGTCACTTGTGAATTAGACCGGTTACCTATCCCACTGACAACATTTTGAAGCTTGGGACGCTGTTCAAAAACAATAAACTTATACATAGCGCGTCTGACGGCTCTTTCCGGATGTTTCTATTTTGAATATGCGCTATCATTAACAGTAAAATATTTACTTCGACCCCCTTTTCTTTCCCCTCCCTCCCCTCACCACACCCATGATATAAATCTGCAAGAATGATGCAGCTTTTGCAACGTTCTGACATAGGGGTAATTAGATGGAGTGACACTTGTATTCTCATCTCGTGATATAGCAAACTTCACGGCATGAAGTAGCCGTTACAATCCCAGAGGACGCAAATAGGTGGTTTTTTTGGTCACAATAAGATCAAAGTGTCAGATAAATATGTTTGACTAATGACCCTTGATCCCTCAAAGTGCTTAGGTAAGTCAAAGGGGAAACTGTGTAACCAACGACGATGGTGGTCTAGTATGCATTGGCCTTTACCTTACACAATCAACAAGGTCAAAAATCGAATGCACCAAACATGGCGCATCATTAATACCAGCACGGAGCACCTTCAACATCCCGACAAGCAGCAAGCAGCATGCATTCTGGAAAGATTCGACACAGATTGAATGAGGTTGCGAGGGTTAAACATTAATAATGCGAAGCAGGTTTACACCAAGTGTCGTTATTAATTTACCAGTCAAACGTAGTACCGTTTTTCCGGGTTTTTAAATATTTTTTTTACGTCCCTACTTCGTCAATAACTTCAATTCACTGGCTGATCTAGGTTGACAAAACACAGGCAGAATAATACGAAATGAGGGCTGCAGTATAGGCGAGTAATTCATTTATTGCTCGCTGTTGCTGCTGCTTCAAAATTGCGGAGATATCTCTGGTGAGAATGTCTGGGTCAATGTACAAAGACTCTGACTAAAGGGGTTGGAAAAATAATAGAAACAGATTATTTGTAAAATAATGAAAAATATCCAATCCACGCAGCCTTGTTCGCTGATCTGCTTCTGCGGATACTGGAATGTGCTGGAACGGTCTTCCTCGTGTTGTTCCACCTGTATCCGTATACCTTTAGCCGCAATACTTCTTACTCCATCATATTCTCCTCGAAGCAATTGCGTGGTGGTTGGTTTTTAATTCCATATCGTTTCCACGTACTGCCCAGACTGTTTGGAACACTGCCTCCCGACAAATTCAACTGTTCAAATATTTCCCGATCGCTCATCAGTCCCTAGCTTTTCGTGTACAGGCATGGCCGTCAACTCGAGCGCATGGCCTACTCAAGAGCCTAGTGACGGATGACTCTATAACAAAAATAGAGGGTAATTACAAAGCTAGAAAAATAGGCTCTATGGAGGTGTAAAATGAAAAAAAGTTTAATCAGACCTTTAAAAATAAATTCTGCCGACAGGGTCAATTTCTATTGATAAGACTTCATTTTTACCATCATAATTGGGGCAGCCTTGGTTGACTGTGTATCTTTATACGATAACAGTATTTACAAAACACCCTTATCAAGCCGGAAAGTCAATAAGACAATTCTTAAATCTAATTTATAATCTCCAAAAATGACACGTTGGTCAGTTAAAAAAAAGATTAAAATAACCGTTTTTTGTTGTTTATAGGTTATCAGAATGGACATTAGACCCAAACGGTCGTAGCAAACAACTCCGCACTTTTAAATTCGATTATTTTGAACTTGCCACGTTCTACAGAAAAGTTTAGAAACACCCTGAGCTGCGAGCAGCCTTCAAGCCTAGTGGCTGTGAAAATAAAATCTGAAATTAGAGGTCTTGCCTTCGAAATGGCACGCGTTTCACTTGCAACATGTGTGGCGGTTTTGCTTCTGGTATCTACACCACCCGTTGCCGTTGGGTTTGAGTCGAACGAATGGTGGAAAGGCACGATCGTGTACCAGATCTACCCTCGTTCCTTCATGGACTCAGACGGTGATGGTGTGGGTGATCTGGCTGGTATCACGTCTCGTTTGGAGTACTTCAACGACATTGGGGTAGGCACTGTATGGCTAAGCCCGGTATACAAGTCTCCCATGGCCGACTTCGGCTATGATGTGGCCGACTTCAAGGACATCGATCCCATATTCGGCACCATGGCTGACTTTGATGCGCTGATCGCCAAGGCACATCGACTCGGCCTTAAACTCATGATGGATTTCGTGCCAAACCACTCCAGCGACCAGCACCAATGGTTTCTGGATAGCAAGAAGAACAAAGACAGCACCAACGAATACAAAGATTACTACGTCTGGGAAGATCCTAAGCAAGGTTGCTCTGATCCTCCACAGCAATGCGTTCCGAATAACTGGGTGAGTGTGTTCGGCGGCTCCATGTGGGAGTGGGTACCGGAGAGGCAGCAGTTTTACTTGCATCAGTTCCTCGTGGAGCAACCGGATCTGAACTACCGCAAGCCAGAGGTAAAAACGGCAATGGATGACGTGGTGCGTTTCTGGCTGACTAAAGGCGTGGACGGTCTTCGCGTAGACGCCATCAGGCACATGTATGAGAGCGAGGGTCTTGAGGACGAGCCAGTGAATCCTGATTACACACCCAAACCGGGTGAGCAGGCACAATACGACAGCTTGCTCCACACCATGACAGCTGATCTCCCTGAACTGCATGACGTCATCAAGGACTGGAGGGACATCTTCCAGGAATTCAGCACTGATCAGTATCGGTTCATGGTGACAGAGACTTACGATACTCACAAGGCACTCCTCCCATACTACGGAACCCCGGAACGACCTGAGGCAGATTACCCTTTCAACTTCGGTTTGATTGAACTCAACAAAGAGAACTTGTCGGGCACTAAAATACACCAGCTGGTAGATGATTGGATGAAGGACTTGCCACACGACAAGTGGCCAAACTGGGTCATTGGTAACCACGACAACTTCCGAATCGCTGATAAGATAGGTCTTGAGTATGCACGAGCCTTGAACGTCTTGAATCTTCTCCTGCCTGGTACCCCGACTACCTACTACGGTGAAGAGATAGCGATGGAGGACATCTGGGTCTCATACAACGACACCCAAGACCCGTTCGCGATCAACAACCCCGAACACTGGGAGGAGTACACACGAGATCCCGAACGTTCTCCAATGCAATGGGACAGGTCATCTCATGCTGGCTTCAGCACCACTGCCGGAAAAACATGGCTTCCTGTCAACCAGAACTATCTCTCAGGAATCAACGTTGCTGACCAAAAGGCAGATAACACCTCCGCGTTGGCACTCTACAAGAAATTAGCAGCACTCCGTAAAGACGAGCCCGCCTTCCAAACCAACCACCTGAAGTACGTCATTGTGAACGACAAGATCTTCTCCTTCCTTCGCATGCCCGACGATCAAGATACAAAGCCCGATTCCTTCCTAGTCATCATCAACGCTGGTACCTCTGAGTCTACTGATGATTACACCGCAGCCCTAACGAAGTTAGAGTTGAAAGCTGAGGGTGACGCTGGGGTCATCAAAGTCAGTAGCAACATGGATCGCAACGGGAAATCCCAGGGGCTGAGTAAAATCTCTTCCGCTGCAGGCGAGGCACTTATCATCAAAGCCTCGGTTTACGGATTCAGCTCAGCATCAGTACCAACCCTGTCTCTAACACTCAGCATTGCAACAGTCATGGTCAAAATATTTTATCACGTCATGTTCAAATATTGACTCTAAAACCGTAAAAAGATCAACAATTTGATTGTTTGGTTTGAAAATAATATGGCGAATGACAATGCGAGATCTGCTTGCTGTTTTCATCTCGAATTAGAAAAGCCTATAGGTAGAGATAATGCAGTGCGTAATAAAAAGTTATGTGGAAAAGCTTCAAAAAGTTAAGCTAGGTTTTCTAAATCCGTTAACTACAGCCATATAGTGGGCTTTAAAAAAATGATTCCAATGCCTATTCTTTTGACCAATTGCTCTTCTTAATCCATTCGATTTATTTGCATGTTACTGAGCAAGCTAGAATGAAAACAGCAGAATTATACTCACTTATTGGTAGACAAATATTATATTTGTTAATACATTTGTTAACGTTTTGTTACAGTACAATTAATATGTTACATAATGACAAATGAAAACGTTGCAAAGGTTTAAGTTAGAATGAAAATGTTTAATCCAATAGGTAGATCGCAGTCGCATGCAGAGCTTTACTAGTTTTAGCACAAGTGATTCATTGGCATATTGATGAAGGCTTGACATGTAAATCGTTTCCAAAGCTAAAAAAAAACATGTTATTATCCGAAAAAATTATAAGCCAACTATAATTATCCGACAGACTCATATAGATTACCAGATATAGTTATACTTTGAAGCAGTTGAGGTCATTAGTTTAAAGATAATTGTATTAAATGCACAGCCTAAAACTAAAAAAATGGAAAAATGTGGGTTTTTTTTGCTAGAATGGTGATTTGATTCTAGGTTCGTAAAATGAAGATTTTTTTCCCATGCAATAAAGGTCTTTAGTTCATGCATGCATTAGCTATATTTTGGGCTTATTTTGGGATTTCAATCAAGACAACATTCAATCAAATAACGACTTTTGCTCTGGGAGGCAGGGAGGGGGATGTTATCCCCCCAAAATGCCCTGGAACCAAGTCAAAAGTTTAGTCCAGACTTTCTCCTGAGCGCCACCAGGTGGCGCTTTTCTGTCCGATTTGTGTTGTTTTCTATGAACGCGTTTTTGGTGGAGTGGAACCTTATGCCCCTAGTGCTACATTTTATTTGTATTACCGTCCTCGAGTCCTCGACCCCAAAGACCTACAGTCCGAAAGCACCTGGTAACAATACTTCACATGGGCCTTATGCACGAGTCGGCCATATTGAATTGAAAGTGAGGTAAAATCTCATTTTTTGAAACTTGCAAAGAGAAATGAAAGCAAGCTAATTACTTATTAGTTCTAGTCTGCTTTAATTTCAAATTTGTAGTTAAACATTCCCTAATGTTTAAAGCCAGATTTAAAAAATAACAGTAAAATATTAAAGGCTGCATTATGCCTGATACTCGTGCATAAGGCCAATAGTCCCACACCTCAAAGTCCGCCCTACCGCCCACTCCCATTCTGCTCGGTGCATACCTATTCGCATAGACTCACCCAGGACCTGAACCTGATGATCCAAAGTCATACTATTGGGAACCATACTTTGTGTAGTCTTACCACCAAAAGACATTCCGCTTGAAACCATGCAGTTATGGTTAGTGATCCATCGCGCCAGATGACTACCTCTATAGCAATCATATTCCGTGGAGCCGAAGGCTTACCTCTTCGAACTATTCGTTCATTGTGCCACACTGCAACAAAACTATAGGAGACCTTCAGCCCTTCCGCTTACAAGTAACCACTCAGATAAATTTAGGGTTCATCCCCGGAGTCCTTCTGCCCCGTATCCCTGCCACTAGGAGGCCCTCTTTGCTGAATGCTTTCTGTCAAAGCTTTACCCCCTGTAACCGCCCTGCTCGGCGATTTTCAGCTTGGAATGTTAGGGTCTGGAGGCTTACCATTTTGGTACTCTTTGTCATGGAAGCCTGCTGCCAGAAGCCCTCCCACCAAGAATTATACAGTGGTCCATCCGCTAGGAGTCCATCTGTGAAACCTGATCTGCGGAGTCCTACCATTTAAAACTTAAAAGCCTGGAACTATTTACTCTGTGTTCATCTGCACCAGCGGAAATGACGTTTTCCAAAGGGGGGCAGTCCTCTTTCCGGGCGTCATCTCCGAGAGCATGTTGACTGCAAGTGCTGCAACTGAAAAAGTGGAGAGTGGGGGCGGGGCTAAACGAAATTGACGCTAGAGGGCGCTCGTTTGTGGGGGGTACGTGCCCCCTCCCCCGCCCCCTCTTTGCTACGCAAATTGTTCCATCCGTCAAAGTCCAACACTGAGCATCTGTAACTATGCAACTAGGGGCCAAAACTACACGCTATTTGAATTGAGCACCTGAGTTCCCGAACCTTTGAATTTGCTTCAATCAAAATGTTACAATGACGAATAAAACGCCGGTCATGACTTACCGAGACTGGTGTCATATACAACTATTAAACTGACGAAGACTAAGTAAACTCTAGGTAGAAACGATATTATTTAGGACGAAGCGCGGCCTCGTGCAATTCGCGAGGTGACGCCGCGCCGGCGGCAACTCGTGAACACACATTAGGGCCTACACATACAACGCCTTTTGCACTGTATGGCGGTGATGTACTTTCACACCAACCAACTGAACCGTTTTATAAAGCTTGTGTATTCATATCAGTATGGCCATGAAGTTGCGAATCATATTATCACACGTCTTCATATTTTGCGATAAAAGTGCAAATTTAATACTAGACAAGCCATCACCGAGTGTCTTTTGTCTATCTGTCGAAATTGTATAAAGTACCGTGCAGCGGATGACAAATGGATTTCCCAGAAAGCGTTTTGTATTTGCTACAATACTGTCAGTTCTATCGCATGTCTCTGTCTAAATATTGTGGCGGATTTACCAAATTACCCCGGACGATTTGTTCCCCCCGGTGGTCACCCAGCAGGTGTGGTACCTCCTTCAAGAGACCCAAGACCGGTGGAGTAGGCCCGTTGCCCTAATGCACAGGGCTAATGACTGGACCCTTTGTAAACCTCCTCGGGGACAGACAGGACACAGGACAAGAGTAAATGGGACAAGAAAATAATGACGTTGTGAATCCCGGGACATACCGTTATTTCGTTTTACCGTTTTTCATTTCCTCAAAACAAAAACAGTAAACGAACCATCGACCGTTTTGTCGTTTTACAGTTTTGTAAAACGGTCAAACGGTATTAAGGTAAATACGGTTTCTCTGTTTTATAAGTTTGATAAAATTCATTACAGCATAACGATCAATGATTTTTGTTTTACAGCTTTACACATATAACTTTGAAAAACAGCAAAACGGTCAGTATTGAATACAGACTGTTTTGTTTTATTTCAGTGTCGTAGTGAACAGTCCGTGTTGCATTTTATGGTGGTGGGCAAGGGGAGTGGAGGGGGACCATGCTTAACATGAAAAAGTGTTACCTCGGCATAATGCGTGGTGTGATTCCTGGCGTGACCCTGACCCCCTTCTAATGCGATTCAGTTGGTGGGGCTTAAGAGTTGCAAGAAAAAATGGCGCTGGAAGACTGTGTTAGGATTTCCCTAAATTCGTGTCCAATAGTCTACAACTATTTATTTCCTCAACAACGAAAGAAACACACTAAACACAATAAGCTTTTCCTTCAGTATATCTGTTCTATTTACAAACAATTTACACTTATTTACAACTGTGGTAGGCCGGTATTTCTTCACTTGTTACATTAATTCACATTCTAGATCATATTATGTCCTTCGTGTTTCCTTTTAAATGAATAGCAATTAATCTTTAAACAAACTTCCACTCTGCAGTTACTTTAAATTATTTTACTCTATACAAGGGTCTTTAAATGGGAGGAGCAGGCGTTTTAAGGATATCAGCCCACGGTACTGTCTTGAATCGTCTGATGCCGGTTGATCGTTGGATACACCGCCTCCTGGGTTGGGTGTCCTACAGCCGCACCAGTTCGATGCCCAGCTAATGGCTACAGCTCGTCCCTTGTCCTTCACCAGACAGCCATCTATTTACAAAATATTCAAGTGATCCTTACAATAAATATCTTTCACTTGACATCAGTAATTTACAAATCAATGATCCATCAGTTATCTTGTCGAAAGGTATAACTTCATCATAAAAATCCAACACTTATTTCAAACATCAGTCTGATCTTCAAACTAATATTAATCATGCTTTAAAGTATGCTTAATCAACATAAATCAAAGGTACTAAAATCAGTATTTCTTTCCAAGATTACTACTGGTTTTCATAAAATCGGAGCAACAATACTATTATTTTCTTCAACAAAATGATAAATTTACAAGTGGATAGTTTAGCTATAAACACTTACGGTTGTGTGGTTTCTTGAAATCCCAGATCTCCTTGGTGTGTTTAACTGAGCACAAAACTGCTCACTGGGGCCTTGAAATTCAAGCCCAAATATTACTGCCTCAAATAGGCTCTCAACTATTCAACATAAACTGCCTGCTATAGCTTTGCTATGCCTGTTGGCTCAGGTTCATGCAGTGACACACACAAGACAATTCTTCAAAATCACATCTGCTTTCTACCACGATCTGGTCTGCTCTGATCTGATTCCTTCATGATCACTCTCACTTTTCCGTCAGAAACCCACACACACCCAATCACTCCACTGTTCCTTCACTGTTGGCAAAGCAACTCCCTAGTAACTTTTGTTTAAACACCTGAATTCTATTATTCACCAAAGGTGTTGCAAACACCTAATTTACACACAACCATGGCTTTTGTAATGCTGCTGGAGAGAAAACCCACAACTACCGAAAAAGCTTGCTGCAAAAAAACGGTTACATAACGCGCACAGAGTAACAAAGACCGGTTCTGTGATAAATGCAGTTAGTGCTATTGGAAGAAACTTTTGAGACTATACCATTTCGCGAAAAGGGGGAAAATACACGAAAACTTCTTACAAATAACCCCCATTCAAAGAAAATGCACCGCATTTTCAAAAAAGAGCGAATTAAAGTAAAAACTGCGATCATTTCGTTATATACAAAAATATATTTACAACGTCATAAAAACCTATCTTCCGTGTACCGTAATAATTGGGTTCGCTGCTTTAACCTTAAACAGGTGCCTGTTATTGCTCACACATTTCGACTGAGATAATCAGCGCCTACGTTCTCCGAACCTTTGATTGCCTGGATGCGAATTCTGTAAGGCTGCAGAGCGAGCGCCCACCGCATAATTCTGGCATTTGCGACCTTAGACTTATGCAGGTACATCAAAGGCTGATGATCAGTTTGAAGCACGAACGGTTTTCCGTAAACATAGCGCTGGAATTTCTGTACGCCCCATACTAACGCTAAGCATTCCTTTTCTATCGTCGAGTATGCTTTTTCTCGATTCAGGAGTTTGCGGCTTGCATATGCAACGGGAAATAAGTGATTGTCACGTTCTTGTAATAGTACAGCACCTATTCCGACTTCGGACGCGTCAGTTCTAAGTACAAATGGTTCATTGCAGTCTGGTAGATGAAGTATGGGTGCACTGATTAGACTAGCTTTCAGTGTTTCGAAGGCTTTCTTAGAACTATCATCCCATGTAATTTTGTTCGGCTCTGAATTTTTAGTTTTGTCTGTGAGAGGTGATGCTTTGGCCGCGTAGTTGGGAATAAATTTGCGATAATATCCGGCAAGTCCTAAGAATGATCTCATTTGTTTCTTCGTCTCTGGACGAGGTGCAGACTGAATCTTTGCGATCTTTTCATCTTGTGGCGCTAGCTGACCTTGACCTACTACGTGTTCTAAGAATTCTACTGTTTCCATTCCTATCACGCATTTGCTGGGCTTTGCGGTTAGATTTGCGCGTTGGAGTCTGCGTAGAAGTTCTTTGAGAGTTTCTAAGTGACTTGGCCAAGTTTGCGTATGAATTAAAATGTCATCAATGAAATTATCAACGTGATCCATACCGTGTAATAGTGTTCTCATCATACGCGAGAAAGTTGCAGGGGCATTGATTAAGCCGAACGGCATCACGTTAAACTGATACAATCCATTTGGGGTCAGAAATGCCGTTTTTATTTTGTCACTTTCTTTAAGCGGAATTTGCCAGTATCCTTTACTTAAGTCGAATTTGGAGAAGTAGTGATCTTTCGATAATTTGGCAAAGATTTCCTCCTGATTTGGGATGGGTTCTGCATCAAATGTTGTGATTTTATTGAGTTTGCGGAAGTCAATGAAAAATCTATTGCTACCGTCTTTCTTTTTGACGATTACAATTGGCGATGCGTAGGGCGAATTGGATGACTCTATAATACCCATTTCGAACATTTCCGCGGTTTCAGAATCTACCGTTTCTCGTAATGCATAGGGAAGTGGGTAAGGCTTGCTTCGGATTGGTTCTGTTGAGGACAGTGTAATCGCGTGTTCATCTAAGTTTGTTTTGCCAGGCATATCAGTCATTGTACTTTGATAATTGCCGAGAAGTCGCTTCACTTGTTTTGTTTGCTCGGAACTCAAATTTGTGCCTATTTGAACGTCGGCTGCCGTTTCAGTGGTTTTTAATGACGGGAGCACGAGTACTTCTTCGTTATCGGTACCTATAGTTTTGACAGTTTCGGTGAGAGATTCGGAGTCAGAGAGTGGTTCTTCGCATTCAATAATTGACACGGTTGCGCATTCTAACACGCCGTCGGAGATATCTGGTTTAGACTTGGGCGTTTCGGGTTGAGATTCTGTTCGGCCAATGTACTTTTTCAGTAGATTTGCATGGAATGTTTTGCTTTTACCGTTGAGGTCAATTTTGTAGTCCACACTTCCTACTTTCTCTAGTACGCGAAATGGGCCTTTCCACTGCAGTAGTAATTTATTGTTATCAGTGGGTAGGAGGAGCAATACAAGATCATCTTTCTTGAATGTTCTTGCGTGAGCTTTCTTGTTGTAGTATTTCGTCATGTTCTTAGTCGCTACACGAAGTTCTTCCTGTGCCAATTTGCAAGTATCTTCTAACCTATTTCGAAGATCGAGTACGTACTGATACGTTGTTTTGGTTTCAGGAGATTCAACTTTTCCCGTCCAAAGTTCCTTGAGGATAATCATTGGGCCACGTACTGTTCGACCGTATAACAGTTCGAATGGCGCGAATCCAAGACTACTTTGCGGTGTCTCGCGATATGCGAAAAGAAGCGGTGCTACGTATCTGTCCCAATCTCTCGGTTTGTCTGCGCAAAGGCGTTTAAGCATTGTTTTCAGTGTGCCATTAAAACGTTCAACAAGACCGTTACACGCGGGATGATATGGCGTTGTCGTTAGTTGACGGATAGATAAGAGTCTACTGATTTCTTTCATGAGACCAGAGGTGAATTGAGCTCCTTGGTCAGTTAGGATTTCATTCGGAATGCCGACACGAGAAAACACGTTCACCATCGCTTCTGCAACCCTAGTGGTCTCTATGCTTGGTAGCGGGATCGCCTCGGGATAGCGGGTAGCGTAATCTACGATAGTTAGAATGTAACGATTTCCACGCTCGGTCATGGGTTGGATGGGTCCTACGATATCAATCGCGACTCGCTGAAAAGGTGTATCAATAATTGGCATTGAACCAAGCGGTACTTTGGTGACTCTGCCCTTTGAGATTGTTCTCTGGCATATGTCACATGATCGACAAAATCGCAAAATATCTGAATGAATGCCAGGCCAGAAAAAACTGCTCAGAATTTTGTCACTCGTTTTTTTTGGGCCTTGATGTCCACCTAACACTGATTCGTGTGCCAATTTCATGACATGGACACGGAATTTCTGAGGTACTACGAGTTGGTGACATGTATCACCGTGATCTAATTTCGGGGATTGAAATTCGCGACAAATCAAACCATCCCTATTTAGAAAACGCGAGGTTCCGTAACGGTTCATTCGCGGTTCGCTACTTTCTACTAATTCACGAATTCGAAGTAATGTCACATCTTCTTGTTGTGCTTGCCGTATTTCGTCTCTGCTAATTTCTGGTAGACCGTCGGGTACTTTGAGTTTTTTCAACGGTTTGCCTTCGGCAAATTTCTGTGAGCGCGTTTGCACGGCGCCGATGGGCTCTGTGTCGTAGTTAAAGTTACGTGTACTCGTGTTTTCATTTCGGCTAATTCGGGTAGGATTTAGTGGCAAGTTCGCGGGTACCCAGTCGGGTTTCGGATCACCGGGGTTTCTTGCGCCTACTATATTACCGAGAAGTACATCGTAAACAGGGTTTGTCATGCATACTGCCTCTACCGTACCGACGAAGTATGGCGTGTCAAGTGGTACGTATGCTACTGGTAAATTACTGACTGTTCCGTCGGCCATTACGCATGTTCGATCGTGTTCAAGAAACTGGTTAACGCGAACTAAGTCCTTACGAACGACTACTCCACTACAACCACTATCGCGTAGTATCGATGCGGTGGTACCGTTTACTAATCCCTTAGTTACTGGCATGCATTTTACATCTGTGCTCTTACATGCAGCGCTGAGTAAAGGTAACTGATGTCCGCACTCAAGTTTGATCATACCATCTTGTGTACAACAATCACTAAGCGCTTGTGTAGGGGGTGGCACTGTTATCATGCAAGCTATCGTTTCAGTGGGATACGCAGTTTCTGTTTGCGCTACTTGATTTCTTTGAACATCATTCTCTGCTGAACTATTTAGGTCAGACTGTGCTTGTGGATCTTGATCATCACTTAACACACTGACTAGCGCTGAAGTAATAACATTCGCAATCTTAGAAAATTTTGACTCTCTGCTTCTGCAGTCGCGGGCGATGTGACCAGGCTTATGGCAAATAAAGCAAGTTCTTTGCGCTCTATCGTGCTGTTGATATGAAGTCCTATTCGGTGTTTGTGACCGATTTGGTTGCTGATATGGTGGCTGTTTGTGCTGCGCGTAATTTGTGGGATGCATCGGTGGTCTACTAACTGGTGACTGCATTTGTCTTTGCATGTGCTGCGGTTGCTGTTTCCGAGGACAAGGGCGTGCATTAAATCCGCCATGCGCTTCAGAGTATTGCTCGGCATAGTGCGCCATGTCCTTAACGCTTTGCGGTTTGCGTTCTTTCAAGAAAGTCGCTAGCTCGTCATTACAACTTCCTAAAAATTGCTCCCTAATGAACAGATCCTTAAGACCAGCGAAAGACTTTTCGGCTTTGGACATGTCTATCCATCGACAAAGTAAGTTATCTAACCTTACTGCGAATTGCGGAGGTGTTTCACCGTCTTCAGGTCTCGCGGTGCGAAATTTCACCTGAAAACCATACTCGGTGAGATGAAAGCGCTTATATAACGCGTCCTTAAGTGTCTCGTAGTCGGCTATATCATTGATGGATAACCTAGAGTAGACTTCTAGAGCTTTGCCTTTTAGCAGTGCGCTCAAACTGATTGCCCACTCTTTCTTTGGCCAGGCTTGCGAAGTTGCATAACGCTCGAACCTTTGCAAATACGCGTCTAAATCATCATGAACGTCGTCGAAAAAGGGTAGCTTAGGAGTGCGCGCTTTTGCCCGTGCACCGTCCTTAGAATTACCCGAGTCAATGTTGGCGCTATGCTTCGCTTTTTCTAGCTGAATTTCTAGTTCAAGTTTCTCGCGGGTATGCGCTCTAACATCACGATCGAATCGATCTTTTTCTTTCTTGAGTTTGTCTCTCTCGGCACACACAAAATCTAACAGTTCCTTTCCCTGTAATCCACACTTTTCACCTAGTTCTGTCAAACTCTCAACCTCTGCTTTAACATCCATTACTACTCCACACAAACCTAACACCACTAAGGCACAAGCAAAGCTAACTAGCTGGCAGCGATTAGGAGTCATGAATTTGGTTGCATCTAACACACCTCAGAGAAGGAAATTCAGTTCGTATTTCATAAACTAATGGTAAATCCTTCAGTGTTTTCATAGTTGTGACAGGACACTTCAATGACTTCACAAGTTGAAATGGATTGAAAAAAATGAAAAAAAAAAATAACACTAGCAACACTAAGTCAAACAAAAGGTTTCTTTTCCGGTTTTGTTTTTCAATTCCCAGACAAGCCCCCAAATGTTAGGATTTCCCTAAATTCGTGTCCAATAGTCTACAACTATTTATTTCCTCAACAACGAAAGAAACACACTAAACACAATAAGCTTTTCCTTCAGTATATCTGTTCTATTTACAAACAATTTACACTTATTTACAACTGTGGTAGGCCGGTATTTCTTCACTTGTTACATTAATTCACATTCTAGATCATATTATGTCCTTCGTGTTTCCTTTTAAATGAATAGCAATTAATCTTTAAACAAACTTCCACTCTGCAGTTACTTTAAATTATTTTACTCTATACAAGGGTCTTTAAATGGGAGGAGCAGGCGTTTTAAGGATATCAGCCCACGGTACTGTCTTGAATCGTCTGATGCCGGTTGATCGTTGGATACACCGCCTCCTGGGTTGGGTGTCCTACAGCCGCACCAGTTCGATGCCCAGCTAATGGCTACAGCTCGTCCCTTGTCCTTCACCAGACAGCCATCTATTTACAAAATATTCAAGTGATCCTTACAATAAATATCTTTCACTTGACATCAGTAATTTACAAATCAATGATCCATCAGTTATCTTGTCGAAAGGTATAACTTCATCATAAAAATCCAACACTTATTTCAAACATCAGTCTGATCTTCAAACTAATATTAATCATGCTTTAAAGTATGCTTAATCAACATAAATCAAAGGTACTAAAATCAGTATTTCTTTCCAAGATTACTACTGGTTTTCATAAAATCGGAGCAACAATACTATTATTTTCTTCAACAAAATGATAAATTTACAAGTGGATAGTTTAGCTATAAACACTTACGGTTGTGTGGTTTCTTGAAATCCCAGATCTCCTTGGTGTGTTTAACTGAGCACAAAACTGCTCACTGGGGCCTTGAAATTCAAGCCCAAATATTACTGCCTCAAATAGGCTCTCAACTATTCAACATAAACTGCCTGCTATAGCTTTGCTATGCCTGTTGGCTCAGGTTCATGCAGTGACACACACAAGACAATTCTTCAAAATCACATCTGCTTTCTACCACGATCTGGTCTGCTCTGATCTGATTCCTTCATGATCACTCTCACTTTTCCGTCAGAAACCCACACACACCCAATCACTCCACTGTTCCTTCACTGTTGGCAAAGCAACTCCCTAGTAACTTTTGTTTAAACACCTGAATTCTATTATTCACCAAAGGTGTTGCAAACACCTAATTTACACACAACCATGGCTTTTGTAATGCTGCTGGAGAGAAAACCCACAACTACCGAAAAAGCTTGCTGCAAAAAAACGGTTACATAACGCGCACAGAGTAACAAAGACCGGTTCTGTGATAAATGCAGTTAGTGCTATTGGAAGAAACTTTTGAGACTATACCATTTCGCGAAAAGGGGGAAAATACACGAAAACTTCTTACAGACTGCAAGGAGGACATTACTTTTTACAATGGATACAGGATGGTAATACGTTTGAAGAAGTTGCATGTAATTAAAGGAAATTGGAGTTTGGCGCGGCTCTGCAATAGCCACTTCGAAAACTATGTCGTGAGAACGAAATGTACTAGGAGGGCAATTGGGGTCCCAGGCAATGACTCGATCCCAAGGACGCATTAACATTCCTAGGTGCATTGCTTAATTGCCGAACCTAAATCAAAAAATGGTCGACAGGACTATTGACCGTTTTTACATTGTCATGTTCTTGTAAAACAACACTCTGAAATGAAGCAACTAACCGTTTATCGCTTTTAACAATTAAGAAAAACAACAAAAAGGTCATTGTTTTTGTGACCTAAGACCGTTTGACCGTTTTACAAAACTGTTAAACGAAAAAACGGTCAACGGTGCGTTTACTGTTTTTGTTTTTGAGGAAATGAAAAACGGTAAAACGAAATAACGGTATGTCCCGGGATTGTTGTGACCTCCTTTAATTATTATCGCTCGATCACTGCTGCTTGAACCTCCCAGTTATCATCGATTAAATTGTACCCTCAATAATTAACTGATTGCTGTAATTACAAGTAAACAAATAAGCACCTCTGATCTACCTAGCACTAGCTGTGCCGCCTCCCAGCGATTGACGCGCCTCCTAGTTTGGATCCTCCCGTTGTAGTCTCGAGGCTACGAGTGCCTCCCCCTAGGTTTTTAAAGGTAAGTTAACTCCCTTCCCCTAGTACACGGACCAGAAACTAATCCCTAGTTTCCTTATTGGCATCCCACCGTAGTCCCACTCAAGTATTCTTAACAGTGGCCCACGCTCGAATCGAGGTAGCGCACACTGTAGTCCCAGTACCTGAGCTCAGCACTCCGCGGGTCCGTTCCCGACGATGTCTGAACATGCACTGCAGCTCGCGCGTTGAATGTGTGCAACTTAACTAGCGCAGTAGCGCTCTAGCGCCCTCTATAGTCAAACACTGTTTCTTGCTCGCGCCTGCTCGCGCTCGCACCACAGGAAATCTCGCTCATTTGCGTTACAATATCAAGGTTCTATGACCTCCCTTCAATAATTTGATCGACACATACCAGTAGATACGGACACGGATATTATTGCAACGTACGATCAAATGAGAATGGTGAACGTACAGTAGCCCACAGTTGAACTTGAGGACACAATACAATTTCAACTGCACCATTGCCGTCTACACCATGGCAGTCATACGCGCTATTTATCTGTTCGTGTTAACGCAAATTTTGGTTAAAGGATTAAGATGGAATGAATGGTGGAAGGGCACGATCGTGTACCAGATCTACCCGCGTTCCTTCATGGACTCAGACGGTGATGGTGTGGGGGATCTGGCTGGTATCACGTCCCGTCTGGAGTATTTCAACGACATTGGGGTAAGCACCATATGGTTGAATCCCGTCTACAAGTCTCCCATGGCCGACTTCGGCTATGATGTGGCCGACTTCAAAGATATCGATCCCATATTTGGTACCATGGCTGATTTCGATGAGCTGATCAGTAAGGCACACCGGCTAGGCCTTAAACTCGTGATGGATTTTGTCCCCAATCACACCAGCGATCAGCATCCGTGGTTTGTCGAGAGCAAGAAAAACAAAGACAGCACCAACCGATACAGAGATTACTACGTGTGGGTAGACCCGAAGAAAAATTGTTCAGATCCACCAGAGAAATGCATTCCGAATAACTGGGTGGGTCTGCTAGGAGGTACAGTATGGGAGTGGGTACCAGAGAGACAACAGTTCTATCTTCATCAGTTCCTCAAAAAGCAGCCGGATCTGAACCACCGTGATCCCGCTGTTCAGTTGCAGATGATAGACGCCCTACAATTCTGGCTAGAAAAAGGCATAGATGGTATTCGGGTGGATTCAATCAGATTTATTTACGAAAATGTAGACCTAGATGATGAACCAATTAATCCAGACTACACGCCGATCCCAGGCGAGCGACCCCAGTATAACAGCCTTATCCACAACAAAACGGCTGATCTCCCTGAGGTACAAGAATTACTGTACGTGTGGCGAAGACTCTCGGATGAGTACAGCAGGGAACACAACTACAGGCTTATGGTGACTGAGGCCTATGTCACTCACAAGACACTCCTCTCGTACTACGGAACCCCGGAACGACCTGAGGCAGATTTCCCTTTCAACTTTGGTTTTATTGATCTCAACAAAGAGAACCTATCAGGCATTAAAATACACCAACTAGTCAATGATTGGATGAAGGACCTGTCACCTGATGAGTGGCCAAACTGGGTCATTGGTAACCACGATAACTCCCGAATCGCTGATAGGATAGGTGTTAAGTATGCACGAGCCTTGAACGTCTTGAATCTTCTCCTGCCTGGTACCCCGACCACCTACTACGGTGAAGAGATAGCGATGGAGGACATCTGGGTCTCATACAACGACACCCAAGACCCGTTCGCGATCAACAACCCCGAACACTGGGAGGAGTACACACGAGATCCCGAACGTTCTCCATTGCAATGGGACAGGTCATCTCATGCTGGCTTCAGCAAAACTACCGGGAAAGCGTGGCTTCCTGTCAACCAGAACTATCTCTTAGGAATCAACGTTGCTGACCAAAAGGCAGATAACACCTCCGCGTTGGCACTCTACAAGAAATTAGCAGCACTCCGGAAAGACGAGCCCGCCTTCCACACCAACCACCTCAAGTACGTCGTCGTGACTGAAAAGATCTTCTCCTTCCTTCGCATGCCCGACGATCAAGATACAAAGCCCGATTCTTTCCTAGTCATCATCAACGCTGGTACCTCTGAGTCTACTCATGATTACACCGCAGCCCTAAAGAAGTTAGAGTTGAAAGCTGAGGGTGACGCTGGAGTCATCGAAGTCAGTAGCAACATGGATCGCAACGGGAAATCCCAGGGGCTGAGCAAAATCTCGTTGGCTGCAGGCGAGGCACTTATCATCAAGACATCGGTATACGGATTTAGCTCAGCAGTATCTAACACTTAGCAGTGCAACAGTGATAGTCAGGTGGCATACGGTTGGAATCGTGACCGACTGGTCCAAAGCACCAAACTTAGCAGATAGATTCTTATAGCCCTGGAGAAGATATTTAGAAAGGGTGACACCTGAAATTATTTTGGGAAGGGTGCCTAATTTGCATGAAGCGTTAATCCCTGCCGCGTAATATATCTATTCCCATATTTGGATAGATGTTTATTTTTGTTATTTTTTGAAAAGCATATTTTGGGGATTTTACTTACATATCCTTACTTAAATAACATTTTCTAAAGCATATCTGAGACTTGAAGATTATAAGGACATAATAAAGATCCAAAAAATGGCTACCATTATACCCTAAAGTTGCGCGCATTCCTTTTCCCTCAGATATCATCAAGTAGTCTTGCCAAACCTCAGTATTGATGAGCTTCAAATTCCCAAAATTACTTACTGACACAGTTACCGTAACAAAAATATAAATGGAAAATCATATGAAAAATTATATCATCTTGATATTTAGCCCACAAAACAAAAAAGGGGGGGGGGGGGAATGAGGTGTCCGTAAATTGGGCTAAAAACTAGGCGAAGCCTGCCTAATGTGGTGGACTTGATCAAGTTCCCCGTTTTTGTTTTCTGGCCTTAATATCACAATTTTGTCATTGTTCACATGATTTTCCATGAAGACTTAATCGAGTAACTGTGCCAGTAAGGAACTTGGTGAATTTGAAGCCCATCAGTACAAAGTTTTGGCAAGGCTACTTGATATCTGGAGACAAGGTTAATGCGCGCAACTTTAGAGTATAATAGTAGCCATTTTGGATCGTTACTGTGTCCTCATAATTATCCACAATTATCTTAAATGCTTTCGAAAATGTTCTTGAAGAAAGGATGTGTAAGTGGAATCACCAAAATATACTTTTCAAAAAAAAAATAAAAATATACTCAAATATGGGAATAAAATATATTACACGGTAGGGATTAACGATCTATGCAAATTATGCACCCTTTCCAACAGAATTTTAGGTGTCAACCCTTCTAAATATCTTCTCTAAGGCTATAGCAATATATCTGCCAAGTTTGGTGCTTTGGACCAGTCGGTCACAATCTTGTCCAAAATTGGGTCTAAGCCGCCTGACTATGATGGCCATCGCCTTCCAAGAGATCATATTCAGATATTGAAAGTGAATCTGTAAACGAATCAGAACGTGGGAAGACTGAAGTTGAGATGTTTTAGCATCTTATCATCACGTTCTAGAATTGCATGCATGAGGGCGTAGCCATTTATATTACACAGAAATATTGTTAAGAGGGTTGTAAATGTTTGTTGTATTGCCCTTCTTAATTGGTTAGATTCAAACTGATAGAAAGAAATCCAACTCTATATTTTACCCATTAAAAAAACACAGTACTCTGGAGGATATCGCGGAGATTTATTATTTCTCCTTGTGTGCAAACACCGGCAAAGCAACTACATGTTTTCCAACTCACAACACTTTCTGGTTTATTTCTCAACGGTCAACACAACTCAGTATGCCGGAATGTAGCTATCCCCAACAACATCATCCAAAACAGTGACTTTTCACTAAAAACTTTTCACTTTAAAAAAAAAAAAAAAAAAAAAAAAATATATATATATATATATATATATATATATATATATATATATATATATATATATATATATATATATATATATATATATATATATATATATATATATATATATATATATATATATATATATATATATATATATATATATATATATATATATATATCCCGCCACTCTATTGCAAATTAGAGTTACTGTGTGTCCAAATTCATCCCAAATTTTCCAAAAATACAAGTTCCAAGACCATTTCAGAGCTAGGGCCCCTCATTTCCACCAACCCTCAAATCGTGATTTGGCCGGCATAGGCCATTTTGGGCCTATTTAATTACTGGTGTACACCACCCGCATAGGCCTAATGTAGTTTAATATAATGGCCGAGCCCTCACAATTGCGGCTACACGGCAAATCCTGACGGGTACCATTGCCTTACCGTGTGGAAGTTGTTGTTTGAAAAGAGTCATTGTTGTCCCACCAGGCCTTGACTCAAAGCATTGCTTGTTTTCGTGTGTGTCTAGTATGTGTGGGTTTTTATGCACAAGCCTCGCCATTTAAACCGAACTGGTAAAAAAATCTCTAGTTTATAATTCTGTTGGAAATGGAAGTCACAGACCATACATAATTATTTTAAAAGTCTTTGGAGAAAGGAAATTACAATAAAGCAGGGCTTCACCTTTTTCCTTTATGTTGACATCATTTAATATTTACACTTAATTACATACTGTCTGTGAAGAATGTTTTGTTTATACATATATATATATACTGTTTTGTCTGAATTATTACCGAGGATGTCAATGTGAAAATAAATGTCGAATTGATTGATTGATTGATTTAATAGACATACTGTATGTAAAACACATCCAAAGATGGATATCTTTAAAATAAGCGACTTTTTCAAGGGAAAAAAAAATTGTTCCAGAAAACTGAACCTGTCTTACCCCTCGATAAATTTTCCAAGGAATGATATTCTTTATGGGAAAAAAAATCAGTGTAGCAGTGTAATAACATGTAGCCCTTTTTGGCCTTAATCAACATTTCATTCATTGCTTAATAATCGTCTTTACGATGGTAAAGACTGAGGATTTGGTAGTCATTGGCAAACATGATGACTGCGGTTTGAAGTTTAGAAGTTTGCCAACTTGGTGTGACATAACTCCAAACTTGGTGTGACAAAAGGCTAGGAATATGTCAACAGATTATAATACTTTGAACTGCATGTCATCGTTTTATTAATTAACATGTCAGAAGTTTCTGTAATGATACATCTATGTGTGGTTATTTTATGCACAAGCCTCGCCATTCAAACCGAACTGGTAAAAAATCTCTAGTTTATAATTCTGATACGAAATGGAAGTCACAGACCATACATAATTATTTAAAAAGTCTTTGGGGAAAGGAAATTACTATAATAGACCATGGAGGAATAAGAACACATGTGTTCTTATTCCTCCATGAATAGACATACTGTATGTAAAACACATCCAAAGATGGATATCCTCATAGAAAATCTCTGGCAAAATCCTATCTTTTTCCTATTCAAAATACATTTTTAAGATAGTTTCTCCTAGAAAATAGGAACAAAATATATTTTATTTCTATTACATCAAAATAAGTACATGTTGCCACTCTATTTTATTTCTAGTTTTAAAACTGGACACTATTTTTTGACTATTTTTGGAGACTTGGACATTTTTGTGTGGTCCACAGTCTATTTTTTGTCTATTTTCTGGACACTTACACAATACAATACAATAAAGTCATTTATATAGCGCTCTTACTCAAAGATGGTTTCACAGCGCTGAACAATAAATAAATCACAAAAAAACCCAAAAAAAACCATGGACTATTTATTTGCTATTTTGTGGACATATGCTCGGTACAACACAATCTGAAGGCCAAGCACTTAATTTGCATACCAGATAAACATCCTGTGTGTGTGTGGCAAGTTTGAATTTCGTCAGTTGCATTCTGAGAGCCCTTTGTGAAGCACAGCTGCAGTAGAGATGGGGGCAAGTATATCTGGGGTTAAAATGCATCCAAATCACTGTAATGGAGTGACAAGTGCACCACATGGTTAGTATAGATTTTCCAGGACAATTATGAGTAACATTCTTGTACCTTTTCAAGCTGTATTTTGCTGAAAAAGCACGCACACCCGTAGCATGTTCAACCAAACTGTTTTAATAATTCGATGGTGCATGATGTATATGTTAATTGTTTGGAAACTGTGTTGGCAGAGCATTATTACTGTTCATGGTAATAGACTTATTTTCAATTATTCCATATTCGTATGCAGTCATGCTTACTCACTTCATGTATGTTTGAGGACTGCTAAAGATGCTTATTGTCCACATGGATATGTGTACTATTAACATGTAGTGTCCACGTATTATATAGAACAGTTGTTTGGACAGACGCCATTTTGTATTTTTTTAAAAATAGCATTTTTTTTTAAATAGCATGCTATTTTTTTTAAAAATAGCAACCTTTTTTACCTCTATTTTACCTCTATTTTTTAAGAAGATTTTTTTTACTATTCTATTTTTTCGCTATTTTGGGGGGTGGCGAAATACAATGGAAAAAAATAGATTTAAAAAAAAATGTATTTTCAATAGGAAATAAATATATTTTTTTTCTATTTTATTTCGACCTGTAATTAATTAAAATAAGCGACTTTTTCAAGGAAAAAAAAAATTGTTCCAGAAAACTGAACCTGTCTTACCCCTCGATAAATTTTCCAAGGAATGAGATCTTTTATGGGAAAGAAATCAGTGTAGCAGTGTAACATGTGGACCTTTTTGTCTTAATCAACTTTTCATTCATTGCTTATTAATCATCTTCACGATGGTAAAGACTGGGGATTTGGTAGTCATTGGCAAACATGATGACTGCAGTTTGAAGTGTAAAAGTTTGCCAACTTGGTGTGAGATAACTCCAAACTTGGTGTGACAAAAGGCTAGGAATATGTCAACAGATTATAATACTTTGAACTGCATGTCATCTTTTTACTAATTAACATGTCAGAAGTTTCTGTAATGATACATCTATGTGTGGTTATTTTATGCACAAGCCTCGCCATTCTACGGAGCCCCTAAAGGGACATCCAAACTAATTTTTTTATCTCGTGCGCACGACATAATATCTCGTGCGCACGACACATATCTCGTGCGCACGACATATATCTCGTGCGCACGACATATGTCTCGTGCGCACGACATAATTATCTCGTGCGCATGACATAATATCTCGTGCGCACGAGATAATTATCTCGTGCGCACGAGCTAATTATCTCGTGCGCACGAGATAATTATAAGTATTAACGGAGCTTGCTTCACGTACGTGCAGCGGACGAGTTTGTGTGTAACGAAAGCAGCATGTCAGGCACTTTACGCTATACATT